GCCGTCGAGTGGGACCCAGATGGGAAGTGACGAGTTGGGCGTCTGAGGTGAGGGTGACATGGAGGAGATGGTGCGAGGGAGAAATGAGAGGTTGTTGGCTGTGGTGGAGCCAGATTCAAAAGATTTCAGAGAACAGAGTGCACTGGAGACGTGCTACTGAAGTGCTATATACCACTAGGAACCCAAGGGACAAATAGTAATATTTATTATAAAGGGAAAAGTTTATCCAACTTATCTGCCTAATATGGCTTAACTAAAGACTCTAAGGATGTAAGTGTTAACCAGCATAAATGGAGCGCAAAATGATGTCAAAACCAGCTGAGACGCATGCTCGTTAAAACAAAACTTAAAACACCGTGATCATCGTGAAGCAAGCTAGAGATTTTTTTAATTGATTTAATTTAATCTATTTATTTTAGCCCTAGTTACATTTTGGTGCCAGGAACATGCAATACAAGTTCATCGAACTAAATGTCATTGAGTTGTGAAGGATTTTGTTTACTTCTTAGTAGATTGGCAAAAAACAATAATCTTTCGGAATATTTTGTAGACGATCATTAGTTGAATTAACCCACTTGTAGGCATATTCTCACATCAGTTAATACTGATACTTGAGAAGTTAGTTTGTTAATGAAATCTTTCCTTCAAACAAACAATTAATCCATTCCATAGTGGACTTCATAGTACTTTTCAACATCACTTAGTGAGATCTATGGATACAAAGAAGAATGAATTTGTTCTGATCTTTTGAAAATAGTCAAAAATCCTTAGGCGGCTAGTTGACGACTTATCTTCTTTCAGTATTTCCATGATGTTAAATGTTCAACAAAATGGCGGCTACACTAATCCTCTACGAAGTTTCATGTGATTCCAATAGTCTTCAAAGTGATAAATTAGAAAGGAAGCGAAGGGTGTTAATGCTAAAAATACAATAATTATGGTATAGAAAACATCCCATTGTTTACTAGTGATTATTTCTTCACTATAAACTTGAATACTAGTTTAATTTTACAATTATTAAGTTACTGACTTATAGATAAATATCATTTTTCATTGGTGATATACAATCAGAGGCCAGCATAAAAGCAGCTCAACCATATACTTAAAATAGTGTTTAGCTGAAAGTTGGCACTAGTTTCCAATGATTATAGACCAGTTTTCTTAAGATAAGATCTTTATAAATTGATCAAATTCGAATACCGTTATTGCTGTATCTGAAGAATGAGAAGAAAATATTAATTAAGAGTTTTCAGCAAAAGTTTACCACTAAATCAATTTCTAAAGTTTACAAGTTCTAAGCGGGAAAAAGTGATGAATAACCACCAGCAAGCAGTAATCACTGTCAACAGGAGAAATCTAAAGGAAGTTGTCTCTTTCACCTACCTACCTACCTAGGCAGCATCGTCTCAAATACAGGTGGCGCTGATGAGGATGTCAAAGTCAGCCAGGATCGGAAAGATAGCAAGACAGGCCTTCATTAATCTGAAACCTGCGTGGGGATCTACTGAACTGCACTGCACTATACTCAGCATAAAGCGTGAACAAGATCCAGATTTTCAACACTAATGTCAGTCAAGTCAGTGCTTCAATGTGATGGTTGAGAGACTTGGCAGGTTACGAAAAGCATTTTCAACAAACTACAGACATATATGCATGAACAGCTGCCGCCTACGCTCACTCGATACTGAAGATGGAGATCAGATGGCCAGAAAAAAGTGATTCCCACCTCCATAAACTTATCAGCATATCTCTGGAGATGTCATAAGTGTGCACTGTTGAACAGTCCCATACCAGGATGAAACGGCCGTCCAGTCCTCCGAGGTTACACGTGGCTATCTAACTCATGTAACTTCACGATAAATAACACCTTGAGTTCATAAATTTGAAAAATACACGCAAAGGTGACTTCAAAGATATTCTTTTCATGACAAACATGAATGAATTATCACACGTTATGTATGCAATAACAGAGGTTCTATTCCATACAAAAACTGATGGATTGATTTGAACAGAAAACTCAAACCTTTGTGTTTGCATTAATTTGATTGTTTAATATACGTATCGCTCCATTAAAATCGTAGAAAAATGTTGATATGACTCAATAAAATAGTACTGACCATCATGGGTTCGGGTGTATACAGTGCATTTTCATTTGGACTCTAATCAAAACATTCCGTAATACCATATGTTCACCATCAGATTTATTTTCCTTGAAATATTTAACTACTCATTATAAAAACGTAGTATGAATGTTCAACTATTTCTTCGCACAACCTCGCCTAGTTTACTAGGAGGTCCTGAGCCTAGATAAACAGGGAAGGTTGGGCATACGGCTACCAACCCTACACCAGAAAACTAATACAATCGATAAAGAAACTTCAAAGCACAAAGAAATTATAAAAAACAAAAACAAACTTATTCCTCGCTGGAATCCCAGACACTAAATGATGCCACTTCGTGAAAGACTGGGAAGCCAGTCGGCCCACGTATCTTCTCTCCATGAAGCGAAAATAAGAATGAGAACATGGAATGTCCGAACAACCTTTGAAGCTGGATGGCTATCAAGGCTGTCCACATTGCAAAAGAGAGGTGCTAGGAATTTTCGAGGAATCTGCAGATGGAATGGAAGTGGACTCTCCAAACTCTCAACTAGAGAGTCAATAATCTACTCCCATGTGGTCACCCAAACAACAACCCCCATGATGTCTCCAAGAACATTGAAGGCTCTCTCTCATGCAGTGGGAACCAGTCTCCTCCTCCACGATCACGATCATGACAGCAAGATGAGTTCAACTCAAAGGGAAGGAAAGTCACAATCACACATTGCTACGCTACGCCATACAACTACAAATAATCCAGATGCAGATGAAGAGAAGAAGGAGGAATTGTACAGACAACTACAATCAGTACTAGACAAGACCCCACCCACCCACTACAGATGGTGACATCGAAATTCTAATGTGTGGGTTGACATGAATGCCAAACTGCATGGAGCAGACAACACAGGAAGAGAAGTGATCATGGGTCGACAAGCACTCAGTGAAATGATGAATGAGAATGGAGAACTGTTTGCAGACTACTGTGCATTCAACGATTTGTTGATTCGAGTCAGGCAGTGTGTACAAACACAAAGATATTCACAAGGCAGCGACATGGATTTGACTTCACCAGACATCACAACACACTACACCACAAAGCAGATCGACTTCACCTCAATGTGAAGAGAGTGGAGACACAGTCAGCCGACTAGACACAAGATCAGATGGAGAAGGGAGCAGATGTGGGTTCACATCAACTCACTACCGTGTGCAGGCCACCTACATTCAAAATCAAGTTGGAAGCCTTGAAAGAAGTTGGTGATAGACCACAGTTGGAGTTGAACACCCAGAACAGAAAGTGAACTGAAGGACGAAACTACAAAGAACATCTTCACATCAGTCAGTCATCAGGACAAAATGGGAGACGTTGAGCAAGATCGTTGAAGAAACCTGTGTGTAGGAAGACTGAAACTCTTTGGAAGCTATGTGGAAAGAAACCCGCATAACAGTATTAGGAAGGAAGAAGAAGGAGGACGAGACAAGGAATGGATCTCGACAGATGCAGGGAAGCTGATAGAGGAAGGAGGAAGGGACTGATGGTGATGGTGATGGTGAAGCAGAAGATGAACCAGTGCGGTGCAGAGCAGTGCAGTGCAGTGCATTGTAGGGATGAACAACGAAAAGGGGAAGTGAACACAACGTATAAAACAGTACACTGGAGAAGGAAGTGAAGAAGAGTGCACGCGATGATAAAAGACGCTTCTACGACACATTTCTGTTTGTTGAAATATTTTATCTTGAAATTTAAAAACTGTAGACATGAGACATAACTGAACACGTAACGTGATGCAAGAGTGAATTTTTGTGCTGTGGTAGAGTATAATTCCTAATGCCCAAAGTGAATTAACTCTAAACGCTAATCAGAACCTGAACCACAACAACAATATCACTGACACGCGAAGACAAGAAAAGAAGACAGACGATTGACAGAGAACTTTTACTTTCTCAACAACAGTTAAAACATGAGAGCGATGCTGAATATATACATTTCTAAACGACCTTGACAACACTTAATTCACTGATAGGTTAAAAGAGTTAACAACCAATGAGAGTTCAATCTTCAGAGCAGTGAGAAAACAAAAGCTAGCAACGATCTGAAAAAGCCATTCCTTTAAAGAAATAAGAATGAATATATATGTATCGGTTGAAGCCAACCCTTAAAGGTGATTTGAGAAGAAGGAAGAAATCCTAACTACATCAATACAAAACGAATGAAAAGTGGACACTGTGAAATAATCAACTACAAGTTCTTTCTTTAAGGTATCTAAAGGTATATATCCGGAAAAGAGACAGAAAAACAAAATTCTCATATAGAACCTTGCACACAAGTTCATCCATTCAAGTTGCTATACATCAACTCTATTGTAGTTGATTTCCAGCCACCTGATGAATATCAAATTTAGCGTCAGAAGTAATACGTTCAAATTTCTAAGAAAATTTTGGCAGGGACATTCAACCAAAGTATTCACTGTAAGAGACAGGTAAAATACTAATTCTTTTCACTCAGTCCAGCCTTGTCAAACACTCCGACGTAACCTCCAGACATAGAAATACTGTTGATGAAACATTCCTTATTATTAACAAGTTATTTCAGAGCACGTCAATCCAATTCTTGTTATCCCTCCTTGTGTGTTTGTGCGTATGTATTTAGCTAAGGCGGTAGTTATGTCCTGTACTGACAAATGTCCTGTTGATGGACCGAAGAACATTCCACTGTCTCTTGTGTTGCGTATGTGGGCGTGCTGATTTACAGACAGGCATAGACACAGACACAAAATGACCCTTTATAAATAAATATCTTCCGATCATTTGTTTAAAACTTATTCAACAAAATCATCACCTCATCCGTCGAACGTACACTTTGAACAACAAATTTCAATAACTTCCTAACACATTAACACAATGTCATCTCATGAATGTCTTCCAGATACCATCGGCAATGATGATGGTGACTCTCATATGACATATGATCAACTAACTAAAAATATTGATAAAGAATTTACTAGTGGAAAAAACACAGTTCAACGTGATCAATGGAAGAATAGAATTGACTTTCTGATAGCATGTATGGGACTTTCAATTGGATTAGGGAATGTTTGGCGATTTCCGTATTTATGTTATAAAAATGGTGGAGGTGAGTTGGCAAAAAGAAAAAGAAATTATTTATTTCACATACTGTGAAACTATTGTTTTTGTAAAGCCTTATGTACTACACTATTTACTAGGAATTTATTCATTTTGTAAGTCAATATTTTGACAGGAGAACGTTTAACTATCATAACAGATTCATTCATCAGTGCAACTTTACACAAAAGTTAGAGTATAAAGGAAATTTTTATTTTTGAAAGGATTGTAGGCAACTGAAAAAGTTTGTATTATTGAGTTAACCTTGTCATCAATCTGCAATAATTTTATCTGAGCATGACTATCTGGTTCAAGTGATACTGCTTCTTCAGTCTTAAAGCTGACCTTGTTTGTGATTGGTCTGAAATACACCTAGTTATCCAGTCTCCTATTACATTCAATCCATCCAATCATACGATGAGTCAGGCAACTCAGCCCTACAAATTGACTGTTTACAATAGAACAGATAGTCAGGTATTTATAACCAAATTACTTGACCACGATGAACCATAATTTATAAAAATGAAACAACCAACTAATTTCAAGCACAAAAAATGGGAGATTGGACGATAATTGATTGACTGATTGATTTTACTCAATATGCAATTACTTCCAAGGCCTAAGTCGTACAGAAGTGAGTGGGAGGTCAATCAAAACCTCTTAAACCGAGCTATACATTACTTTTACCAATTCAGTCATAAGTGGGATGACTTTTAGAATAGATAGGATAACAATACTATTGATAACACTGCTTAACTGAGGAGGTTCACGTTTTCCACTTATCGACTGATGTAACTAAACTTTCACTTGTTTAACCTAAATACTCTTGACTTAGATACCGTCGTAGTATGTAACGCCATGCTAATTCGCTTGATATATGCTTATTTCATACCTGAAACCATTGAGATTAGTTAGTTGGCGATGATCAGCAGGAAGCCCTGCTCCCCTTCAGTCTGACGCTTGTCAGTACTTATGATGCATCTGTAACTTCCAGGAGACTGAAAGGATGAACCCCGTGAGATATGAACCGATGTTATTCACTTTTATATCTAGAGGCTTTGCCAATGAGCTATTCGGAACGTGACTGGTCTTCTGTAGCACTGGATTAGGCTCACTGATTGGCTACTGGAGAGTAACTAACTTCATGTTGTCTAGTCCTGAATGCTGATCGGATTCCACCAATTATTTCCCAATGTGGCCATCAGGCTAGTTGATATCTGGAAGCCCTGGACCTAGGTTTTATGCTTTTGGATACTCGTCAGCAAGGCGTATCTGCAATCTCTAAAGGACTGAAATCCCGCCTGAGATTTAAATCCATATCATACAACGCTGCAGTGAGAGACGTTACCACTGAGTTACAGTTTGCAAACCAAGTTATCCTATTAGATCCAGCTAATTTCAGTCACTGCCAATTATGACTTATCTAGAAATTTTGAGATAGTTCCGGATCCCATTACAAATCATTTGGAATCTAAACTTATTAATTCCTATAAATGGTTAAACTTACTCCAAGATATCTTGTTCATTGTAATATATGTAACTATGGTGATTTAAACCTTTGTTGATCAGATCTGAAGACTGAAAACTTCCTGCTAATTGATTCTAAATAATTAAGGATAGTCAATATGTACATGAAGCACAAAAACTTTATCATGTCTAAAATGGAACAAAGTGACGATGCTAAAAACTGACTTGATTAGATGGAGATACAGGTGGAGTTTGTCAATTGAACTTTCTTCTCGTTATATCAACATGAAATTTGTGAAATCGGAGTTGGCTAATCAATATCATAATCTAGATATCTTGGAAGTACTGACAATCACTGATGTAAAGTAATGATGAGTGTAAAAATTTGGTTGTAAAATTCCCCTTGATATGACCATTGACAACAAACTGTGTTCGAAACCTGATTCAGTAAATATTGTTCCTCCAATGTATGAATTATTCGAAAAAAAGATAACACTAACAATGATACTGGAGCCTGTTATTCTTTATTGTTGATTGGTCTGAAAAGAATTGAGCCCCCTGAATCCCACTGCTAGCCAGTATCTATCCTAAATATATCTAAGTGAAACCATAAGCTAAATAGAGGCATTCATCCAAAGGGATTACATGCCAACAGACACCAATCATATTTGGCAGTGGCTATCGTTACTCCCTAGACTAATGGATAGTTTTCTAGTGATGTAAGCGACAGATCCTGGGTTTCGAGCTTCAACTGGAAGAACATTATTCATATTATGATGCAGGTACATTCAGCTGATGAACGAGTTGGTAAACGGATAAAACAAACATGTCCTTTATCCCAATGTTAGTCAGCATCCATTTTTACTGAATTGACAGCGAACCCATATATTGCTCCCAGTTATTTCATCACAAAAAAGGGGCGACAATCTATGTTTCACCAGCATTTCTCGATATCTTGACATGATTATTTCAGAGGCTGACTAGAATGGAAGACAAAATCCTCTCAATCTTCTCGATGCATAGTGTCAGCCTTATCATCAGTAAGCGCATAGTCAAGATGTAAATTCTAAGAAAGCGTGGGTCACAAAGTACCCTGCCACACTACCCACGCACACATCATACTGAAGCATTAAATCCTTTCTATTACGGTAATACAGCTAAATTAATTGGTAGGTTAGGAAAAAAGAACTCAGAAAATTCTATTTATCATTAACTGACCAAGTTTACACATCTTTTTCAGTATAAGAATTTGTAACCAGTGGATATTCAATGCATCTGTCTAGACTTGTAGTGTACGTCGTGTTGGCCTGAACCTCCAAGAGAACATAAGTTCTCTCCTACTTTCATATACACCTTGCTGATTGGTACCAACATGTATGAAGCTAAGGTGAGGTAAGGTTTCCTGTTGATTATCCTCTACCATTTCAAATCAAAGTGCAACTTATGGTTTTTACTATGACCTGAATCTTCTCTAATTACTTATACAAATGCACAGTAGGCTTATTCAACAGTGTAACTAATGACGGTAGATTTCTAGGTATCCCACATTGCCACTAATTATCAAGAATCAACATTTCGGTACCAATAAAGATAATTTCTCCTTTTCCGATTGTGAAAAGGGTGTATTGCATTTCAGCAAACTTCATCCCTCTGACTTAATCGAATACTATAAAAGTACTCGCTTGCATGAATATGAAAAATCTTAGATTAAAATTGGTTTTATCGCCTTCGCAAGCCTAAACAAACCTATATCTAGACACATTATCTCAGTCTTCATTCTTCGGTAATCAGGAGAGTAGGTCAGTTCGACTAGAGTTGATCCTTACAATAAGTATCCTTGTAAAGAGGAACTTTCCCTTTGAATATCTTCACCAAAGTATATGATACTACTTGGTTAAGTAAAGAGAGTAACAGTTGTTGACCACATTGTGTAAAAGACTGTAGACTCACGGTAGATTATTGATCCAACTGTGGTTGCTGAATATTTTCTATGGTCGCCCCTAAAAATGATCGATCTTTGAGAAAGAGACAAAAAGGAAGACATGCCAACCACAAGGTCATTGTTGACTCTGTCACTTGAATATTGGTACAACAGTCTGTTGAATCAGATTTCAATGATAAGCCTAGAAATTTAATCCACTACATAAGCAAATTAATAGATTTATACGCTTATTATCTGGTGTATGTGGATACCAGAATTTCACAGACAACAAGATAAATTCCATTAATTAATATGAAAATATTCTTTTTTCTTTCTTTCATCTATCCTTCAAAGGTGCATAAAACTCTGAGGAATGTGTAGCGTTGAGTTTGTAAATTGTCCATAGTTTTGAACTCCAAACATTTTGTCATATTTATGTGTACATATAAGACCAATCTATTCAGTAAATGATGCTACCTAAAATATTGTGATCAACAGAGAATTGAATCAATGATTGATAGTTACTAGTAGTGGAATCCAGGATGTATGCTTTTCGTCCTATTTTTAAAGTAACTCATCAGCCTTTCAACTGATGAGTTACACTAAAAATGGGACGAAACACATACATCTTGGATTCCACTGCATGGTCCAGTCGACCAAAATCAGGGAGATGATCGGTGATAGTAGGCGGCAGCCTTGTCTTACCTGTCAACCTATCTTCACTTCAAAGGCATCACTCAGCTTTCCATTGTGGATCACTTGGCATGTTGCGTCTTCATATAGCTGTTGAATGAGATTGACAAATGTTTGTGGTACTAAAAGTGTGATGCTGAAGCTGCTGCTGCTGTCGACGCTGTCGAAGGCTTTTTCAAAGTAGATGAAGTTGAGTTAGAGAGTTGACTGCTATTCTATCCTCTGTTCTATGATGATGCGTAGAGTTGCAATTTGATCCACACATGATTTGTTCTTCCTGAAACCAGCCAGCCTGTTCCAGTCGTAATTTTGAATCCAGAGCATCTTTTAGCCCCTCCAGGACGGTGCGGCATAATATTTTGCTTCGGGTGGACAGCAGTGTGATTCTGCGCCAGTTCTTGCAAAGACTTAGGTCTCCCTTGTTTGATAGTTTGACAAAGTAGCCGTTCTTCCAGTTCGCAGGTACCTTTCCTTCCTCCCAAACATTCTGCAATAGTGATGTGAGCGTGTCCGCTGTTGTTTCTTTGCCACTTTTCAGTGCTTCCGGCGGAATTCCATCTGGTCCTGCTGCTTTCCCAGTTTTCAGCCGTTTTATGCCACTTCTGCTTTCGTCGGAGGGCTTGTGTTCACTGGTAGTTCTGTGGCTGGGCTGCTGGTGGTAATTCTGGACGAGTTGCAGGTGATGGTGTTGGTGGTCGATTCAAGAGTTTTCTCAAGTGGTCAGTCCATTGTTTCCCTTATTTCTCCCCTTTGGTTGTAACTGAGTTTCGTTCACCATCTCTCTTTGGTTTCATCTGAGTTGATCTCTTCCTTACCAGATAGTAACCTGGTTATTTGATATAATGTTGTCAGGTCTCTGTCTCTCCTACCTGCAGCCTGTTCTGCTTCACTCACAAGTGTGTCCCAGAAGCGTCTTTTATCATCGCGTGCACTCTTCTTCACTTCCTTCTCCAGTGTACTGTTTTATACGTTGTGTTCACTTCCCCTTTTCGTTGTTCATCCCTACAATGCACTGCACTGCACTGCTCTGCACCGCACTGGTTCATCTTCTGCTTCACCATCACCATCACCATCAGTCCCTTCCTCCTTCCTCTATCAGCTTCCCTGCATCTGTCGAGATCCATTCCTTGTCTCGTCCTCCTTCTTCTTCCTTCCTAATACTGTTATGCGGGTTTCTTTCCACATAGCTTCCAAAGAGTTTCAGTCTTCCTACACACAGGTTTCTTCAACGATCTTGCTCAACGTCTCCCATTTTGTCCTGATGACTGACTGATGTGAAGATGTTCTTTGTAGTTTCGTCCTTCAGTTCACTTTCTGTTCTGGTGTTCAACTCCAACTGTGGTCTATCACCAACTTCTTTCAAGGCTTCCAACTTGATTTTGAATGTAGGTGGCCTGCACACGGTAGTGAGTTGATGTGAACCCACATCTGCTCCCCTTCTCCATCTGATCTTGTGTCTAGTCGGCTGACTGTGTCTCCACTCTCTTCACATTGAGGTGAAGTCGATCTGCTTTGTGGTGTAGTGTGTTGTGATGTCTGGTGAAGTCAAATCCATGTCGCTGCCTTGTGAATATCTTTGTGTTTGTACACACTGCCTGACTCGAATCAACAAATCGTTGAATGCACAGTAGTCTGCAAACAGTTCTCCATTCTCATTCATCATTTCACTGAGTGCTTGTCGACCCATGATCACTTCTCTTCCTGTGTTGTCTGCTCCATGCAGTTTGGCATTCATGTCAACCCACACATTAGAATTTCGATGTCACCATCTGTAGTGGGTGGGTGGGGTCTTGTCTAGTACTGATTGTAGTTGTCTGTACAATTCCTCCTTCTTCTCTTCATCTGCATCTGGATTATTTGTAGTTGTATGGCGTAGCGTAGCAATGTGTGATTGTGACTTTCCTTCCCTTTGAGTTGAACTCATCTTGCTGTCATGATCGTGATCGTGGAGGAGGAGACTGGTTCCCACTGCATGAGAGAGAGCCTTCAATGTTCTTGGAGACATCATGGGGGTTGTTGTTTGGGTGACCACATGGGAGTAGATTATTGACTCTCTAGTTGAGAGTTTGGAGAGTCCACTTCCATTCCATCTGCAGATTCCTCGAAAATTCCTAGCACCTCTCTTTTGCAATGTGGACAGCCTTGATAGCCATCCAGCTTCAAAGTTTGTTCGGACATTCCGTGTTCTCATTCTTATTTTCGCTTCATGGAGAGAAGATACGTGGGCCGACTGGCTTCCCAGTCTTTCACGAAGTGGCATCATTTAGTGTCTGGGATTCCAGCGAGGAATAAGTTTGTTTTTGTTTTTTATAATTTCTTTGTGCTTTGAAGTTTCTTTATCGATTGTATTAGTTTTCTGGTGTAGGGTTGGTAGCCCTATGCCCAATTTTCCCTGTTTATCTGGGCTTAGGACCGTCTGGTAACTAGTGAACTCGTTAACCAGGTGAGGTTCTCTCATTCTATGTTTCGCTAAATTCCTATGTTCGGCTATTCTAATTGACTCCGACCGGCTACCTTGACCTATGTGCTTGAACTCTCAGTCATTACATGGAATTTGGCAGATTAGGTTATTTTGCTTAACTGATTCTATTAGATCCTTAATGCCGTACCAAAATTATGGTGGCGATATGTGTTTGATACATTTACTGGTTTGAAGTTGGAACATACAGACAATTTCCTCACACATATATACTCAGTAGTAGGCGCAATCCAATTGACTTACGAGGTAGAAAATCAATGCGAAGAATTGCCTATGTTGGATTGCATGATAAGACGAAGGATCGACTGTGGTTTCGATACTGACATCTACAGAAAACCGATACATTCTAACAGGTATCTAGACTTCACATCATCTCATCCACTGTTACTTAAGATGGGTTTAGCCAAGTGTCTAAATGACAGCTAGAAAACTCAACAGTCAGTGCAAGGACCTAAACAAGGAATTGAAGCACATAAAAGAAGCACCAGTAGTTAATAATTACCCCCTACAGTTTATTAAAAAATTCGTACAGACACACAAGAATGGAAGAAATAACAGTCACACGAGTACCAATAATAACGACAACACGAGTAGAAAGGAGTTCATAGCCTCCATTCTCTTACCCTATAAGGAAGGAACATCACAAACGTTATGTAGGATTCTCAACACAGCTGGAATTAAGGTGGCATTTAAACCTACAAACTCACTCAGAGATAAGCTTTGTCGGCTGGCTTAAGGATCCCACGGAACCAATTCAGCAAAATAATCTAATCTCCCAAATTCCATGTAATGACATAGAGATCAAGTGCATAGGTCAAAGTAGCAGGTCGGAGTCAATTACAATAGCCGAACATAGGAATTTAGCTACATATGGAATGACAGATCTGAATACCTTCAATAATCTAGAAAACAACTCGGCTATTACAATGCAAGCATTAACACACAACCACACTATGAGGTGTATGGGATAAAGCCACTATACTCAACTCCAATATAATTAGGTGGATACACAGAAGTAGAGATTGATTACCGAATCTTTGTTCATCGAATCAACCAACACCCAACACATGTAATAGAAATGATGCAACACCTGCATACCAGAGATAAGGAAAACTTTACTACCAATAGAAACAAGGAATGTCAGGTGGTGACAGGACTATAAAAATCAGATGTCGAAAGTAGTGTGATTATATAAATATGATTATGAGGAATGATAATTTTTACTGAAAACCACGTCATCCAGTAAATAATATTGTATCACTGTGTGTTATAAGTTAAATACACAAATCTAATATGGAATTAAATTCTACCATAGTGTCCAAGTCTTACCCGTATTAACACCGAAACTAACCTCTTTTCATATGCTTCTATCTATAGGTTTTTAAGTCCCAACTTCAATTCATACAAATCGACGAGCGACTTTAAAGGCCACCCTACCAACTGGTGAACTAATCAATTAGGTTTCGGTATTTCATCTGGGAAGGTAGTTGTTCATAAAATAAAGAAATATAATTGGTTGTCTTGTCAGTTTTAGGGTAGCCTTTAAAGTGATTCGAATCAACTTGTCTAGACTATGAACGGTTTCACATAGGATATGAATCCGATGTAAAGTACTTGAATAATAGTTCATATGCTGGAGTATTTCTGAAGTCAACTATCGGCCTAATGAGGTAACCTGGTTTATGAACCATAATAGTGCGGTTAGTTCGACTGAGATTATTAATTTCAGGTATTACATTGAAGTATTTAGGCTCACATAGTAATGGATAGCTTTTTTCAACGTATCAAATTGGCTGTGGATTTCCAAATCTTATTCATGACAATGTGTCTGTAGGTTACCTTATCTCTTCATATGATCCTGTTTCTGAATGTTCGTCAATTTTCTTGAAATAATCTCATTTATCACTAACTACTGTTGAATTACCCTTGACGGGTTTGGTAGTTATACTGTGATATTGTAGTTCCGTAGATTATTCGGAGGTGATGTAATTTGTTTTGCTAGTTCTCGTCTCGTCTTCTTCTGGGCACTTTTTCAACGCTAATCCACACCCTACGTTTTAACTTGTTCAATGATTGACATATATCCTGCGTTGAATCATACTTCTATGGTGCGCAGTATGACATTTACGGGTTTTAGATAACTTACTGCATCTTTCAACCTTAATCCTTTTTGTTGTACTTTTGTTTTTCTTAAGCTTTAGACTCTCCAAGAGAGGTTGACCAAATACATCGTTCTGTTGATAGCTGATGGTGCACCGCTTGAAATTGTATTCTTCCTTGGCTGTTTAGTGACAGGGATGACGAGACTTAACTGATTAGTAATATTTTATCCGAATAAATGAACCATAGTGTATTATGCTAATTCACATAGCCATTTATTCCAATGTTCATAGATATCACCTATCAGTCGGGTTCAGAGTACGGCCTTTTTCGTTCACATATGACTAATCAGCACTGGCTGTGGTTTGTTGTCAAAGGGAAAGTATCTTCTTCTTATGACACATTACGTTGAAATGGAAATAAGCAACGAATGAGACCCAATGAACAAACAAGAGATAACTCTTACCACTTCGTAGCCAAGAGGATAAGGCTGTGACAACTGAATCTATAGGTACTGGGTTCCAGTATTCGTGGGAACAGTATTACGAACTGGGAGTGAGTCCCAAATAGGACCAAATGCGAGTTCTGGATTCCATTGATGACCACCTTCAATTAAATAACATCAGAACTAAATCCCAACTACTGGTTACAGTTTGAAGAAATGCAGTTAATCATGACATCATCTTGTTAAAGACAACTTCAAAGAAAGATGAGGTAATCCACCTTCCTGTTTTCTTCTATTTTTTTCACCCTTATCAGGTGCTTTCCTAATCCCATACTTCATCAGTATTTTTATAGCTGGCATACCGTTGTTCTTATTAGAAGTGACTGTCGGCCAACTTACACGTCGGGGTGTTATAGCTGCATGGAACATATGCCCACTCTTCCAAGGTGAGTCACCTGCATGGCTTGAATACGTTGATGTGTCAATATATTGCATATATGTCAGTTCTGCTGTTATCAACGGTTTGCTGGATAATTCGTTATTATTACACTCTTTTGTTATGAGCAGTTTTCTTCCTCCATCCGATAGCTGCTACCTTGACGTGACGTGATGGTTGGGCTTACATATTACAATGACCCAAGGATCTACTCTGGCTAGAAAGATTGTCCCCTCAGAATTCCGTCATGGTAGAAAGGTCTCTAAAATGATGATGAGATGTTGTAAGTTCCTACGCTGTGATGGGGGCTCGAGGGTAAGGTCCTACTGCTGATAGATGGGGAAGCGATATCAATGAAGTGCTTCCCACGGATGACCACCAGTGTCATGCTGGTGGTGTCTTCTGTATGGAGAGAGTAGTCTGGAAAACGTTGTCCCGAAAATGGCACACACCCTCGTGTTCTGCGGTCTTCTGTATTCGGCGATTTTTTTCATATTCGGCATTAGCAAAGTCAAATCTCAAACCAACAATCCTCAAAAAGCTGTGTGTGACAGATGTCAAACAGATACTCGATGAACTCTACGGTCATATAACACTATTTTTTCACCACTTTTCATAGTTTGGGCAGCAAGGTAATGACCATAGCCCACACATTTTTAGTAGTTTACAAAATTTAATCAGCTTTAACCTACCCTCCTTATATTTGTCTCCTCCCTTGCCTTCATTTCTTCATATCAATAACAGGCCTCTTATGACTTCCTCAATCTCTCACTCTACGACCACGGCCAATTCAGTGTAACATCAGTCTTGAAATACTGTTCTCTATTTGACACTAGAGGTTTCAATATCTTAACGTTATACTGTGCCATACAACAGGCGTCTCTTGACAGAACTTTGGAATCTCAAGCCATGGGTGTATGCTATCTCTGAGACACATACACAGGACCTGAGTGTGGCTAATCCATTGACCTCACCTGTTCAATCCAATGAATCTACTAGATTCACTTTATAAGTATCCGAATGGATATTTAATGGCTAGTTGTTGTAGATTTACTGGTGTAGACAAAGCGCTGAGTTGTAAAACAGGAAATGCACTTTTCTTGTGGATACTATCCGACAGCCGCATATGCGATGTGCTACTGAATGCATCTATAAGAACCAGGAAGGACCGTAAAACTTCCCGATACCTGTTCACAATCTCCACCTACGTGTCCATCGAGCACAGTTCGGATGATGCAAAGCATGAATTCCATCAGAAGTACTCAATTTCGGTTGTATTGTATCCTCTAAGTTGAGTTGTTTAATCGTCGAGCTTCCATTGTCTTTCTAGACGACATCATTAGCACTTACTTCTGTATGAAGTGGGCTGTTAATATCTCACCATGAGTGATTTAGTAGCTTGCCCTGACGAATTGGTTTGTGATTAGTTATTTCCTTTGATTGCTGTATCATTGACTGTACAGATTTTCCTGTTGGGTTTTCCTCTGCTTGACCTCTGACCTTCCTGTCCTTTACCATTTTTCCCATTGGTTGATAGATTGGGTCTACTAAATCACTCCCAGAGAAATATTGACAGCTCGCTTCATACTGAAGTTAGTGCTGAAGATGTCATCTAGAAAGATGATGAAAGCTCCAAGAGTAAACAAATCAGCTCAGAGAACACAATACAACCAAAACCATCCATCTGATCTACAAGTATTCAATTTTGCTGAAGAGAGTGGAACTTCCAGGTATAGTCATAATAACAGGCAACTTCAAAGCTCAAGACAGAAAGCTGAGGGGAGCCAATCGGAAAGTTACACCGAAAGTATCTATGGAATCTCTTCTCAACAAACCGACAACAGTGATCATCTGTTGTCACTTTGTTGTGACAGTCACTTGTTTTTGGTCGGCTCTGACTTCAACCATATGGAGAGACACTATCTGACTTGGCGTCCGCCGATATCGAACCAATGAAGGACCCAAATAAATGATATTGCTGCGTGCCATCTTCGAAGAGGATCGACAGAGGATTGACACTGCTTCTGCAGCATCAGTTTGGATTCAGATCACGCACGAGTACGGGCTCCTGTACGTCCACTTTTCTGGTTGCAGGAAACCAGTGACATTAAAGTCTGTCTACGGTTGACTGGGAAACAAGGACGCCAAATAAGTATTTAGGGAGGAGTCAGGTAGACAGTTACCTGAACATGATAGCAATGCTCATCTTGACGACACCTGGTATCATTTAAATCTGTTGCAGAAACAGTCGTAAAGACAGTTGGTAACCTACACAGGAAGGCAAGCAGACGTCATTGAATTTCCTCAATATTGTCCGAACTGACTGTTGTAAGAAGACTGATTCCAGCTTGCTGTGTCTATAGTGAAGAGCGGAAGCAACTTAGACACAAAGTGATGGAAATTCTTTGCAATGATCCTGAGTGGTGAAAGGTGGAGACAGAGAGAGAAAGGGAGAAGGCATAGGTGTTAAATAACATCAGGCAACTGTTTATACTTAATAATGAAGGCAAGTGAAACTATCACCGAAAAGGGAGGTACCGTGATAACGTTACAGGCCAGATGGCTGGAACTTTGGGAAGAACACTTAGAATCACGGTTTAACTGTATCATAGCCACGCTTTAGTTGCCCACCCTTCAGCCTGAACTTGAATAGGACAAAAATGTCAGTCATCCAAATCTCGTCGACGATAAGAAGGCCATTTCGAACCTGAAATGAAGCAACGCTGCAGAACCTGACTATTTGGGGAATGACAGAGGTACTAGGTAGTGTATACGAATCAGAGGTATTCTCATATGACCAGTCTGTTTTGCTTATCATTCCAGTGCATAAAAAGGGAGATAAGTCTTCCTGTGACAGCCACAGAGGAATCAGTTATACATATATCGTGTCCAGGACCTCTCGATTCATTATAGTATAACAGACACCTGGCTTAGGGAACATAAAATTCGTGAAAACCGGTAAAATTTCAGACGTGGACTAAGGTGCATCGATCAGACCTTCATCCTTCACCAGGCTGCGAAACACAGACATTCTTACCGGCGGCTGACACTAACCATATTTCTTGACATGAAGGCAGCATTTGACGCTACTGACCATCGGGTTTTGTGGCACAGTCTCAATGTTATTGGAGTACTGAGCAAGTTGGTAGTGCTAGTCAGAGCTACCTACTCGAAATCAACTAGCTGAATAATGGCTTATGAATGATTGTCATCTGAACTGATGACAAATAGTGGTGTCAATCAGCAATCCTTGTTTTCACCGTTTCTGTCAAACTGTTTTAAAGTTGTATTTGTGGATATAACCTAAGGAGACTATGGATTCACTGGGACTGATTTAATTTCTTGGAAGAATGTGGTTGGAAACGTGTGCAGTCGGGTTATAGGGTAAAATGTTTGGTGTTGAAGTATTTCAGACAATAACATTTTCATCAAATCATCGAATATTCATTGACTCATTAATTCCCCACCGATTATTATACTGAACTGAACTGATTGGCTTTTCATGACAAATGGGCTCCTTAAATAGATGTCTTAATATTCTGTCAGACGTGAGCCGAATGTGCCTCCATCTCAATGAGTAATGCTGTTCACAGTGAAATTGGAATTCATTAGCCAGTGCTGTAAACGACGGTGTTGTCCACTATGCTATCGAGTGATGAGAACCACTTCTTGTGAAACGGGTATCATTTGTTGTTTATGAGTGTTTTTATTTCCCCTATATGAGAACTGACATTACTTCACACGGTCTCGGGTATCCACTGCTGTGGAGTCGCAAAGTATGACGAGACAGTTGTTCAGTACTCTCAGGTTTCAGTGGTTCTCTAAATGATGTCAGCCTGTGGCGAAATCAGTTAATCTCCACAAAGGACCAATTGGATAAAAAATTTTACAGCAACGGAAATTGGAAGCTTTGACTGAGAATACGGTTGGATATTCTCTACACTTCAGTGGATTCAACTTAGGAGCTGAAAGTTCAAAGTTATCCTCCGATAAGATAAACCAACTTTCTTTCTGATGCCAAGATTGACATGAAATTTTGATGTATAGTGACCTTTGATAACTTTGATACACAATGCTTACTCTTGAAATACTGTGTGTATACAGAACAAACCCAATTTCGAAGTAAAATTCTTGAAAATGAAATAAAGTGTGCAACTGAGCAATTTACCGACCTACATTTTCTTCAATGTTTGTCAGTTCAGAGAATTATTTATTAAAAACATTGAAAACATTTGTTTCTCGATACAAACTTGAAACAAGCAACAAGTGTGAAAAAAGCAGGATTTAGTGAATTCATAATTTTCAGTAGTACTCGTCAGCTGGATACTCTACATACTTGATTATATATACCGTTAAGCAATGGAAAAGAGCATACATACACACATATACAACGTAGACTGAGATAGATTTAGGTGTAACAACATAGAAGTGAATAGTTTTTACACGTCAAATGGTAATCCAGAGGATAGAAATAGATATTCAAGATTGTTGACATAGGGATGAGAACTGAATCGACTGAGCGTCGATCACGTCATTGAAAACAAGATAGTTAATAGTACTTATGCAAACAATAAGAAAACAAGGTGTATACTGAGATGAATGATAATGATAACATTGGTAATAGGAATAAAGTTAATTAGACGAAACAAATCAGGGAAGGAAAACAAAAATATAAGATGCGTGATAACTAATAGTGAAGGGTAAAATAAGAAAGATTAAATATGATAAGACAATGTTGTAATTATTACCATGGCAGATTCAGGTTGACTGCTATTTCCTTCTGAATACAAAGGTTTGGTTTGACTACTCGAATCGTGCAGGCTTCTACATATCCAAGCCATTTCTTATTTTGCTGTCTACTGATAACTTTAAAGGACTTATAGGTATCAATATCATGTCCATAATCCATTAGGTGCTTCGTTAACGAGCTCCTCAGGGTCTTCTTTTCGGCATGCTTCAACCATTTCGGTATGTGCTCAACCATTCGGGTGGACAGACGCCTGTCCGTACGACCAATGTGTTTGCTTCCGCAGGTACATTCGAATTGATATATGCATTTAGATGTGCCGAGGATCGGAGTACTGTCTTTCCCTGATTGCTGCAATACCCTTTTGGTGGTGCTAAAAAGAACCAGTTTAGCTGCGTAGTAAGTCCTTCTGATAGACTTCCCTAATCTTCGTCTAACTACTTCCAGCACGTCGTCACCTTTGAATGGCAAGGTGACATAGGCTAGTTTCTCCTGCACTGTTGGGGCCGTTGTTCTGCTCCCTACTCACTTTGCGTGCTTGTTGAAAAAGCTTTCTGGGTACCCGTTCTTCACCAGCACGCTTTTCAAAGTCCTTATTTCATAGTCTAGTGTGCTGTTGGAACAAATTTTCCTGGCTCTGTTACACAGCGTTCCAACTGCATTCACTTTGTATTGGATGAGAACAAAGCTCCTAAAGTGAAGGTATTGTCCTGTCCAAGAAGGTTTCCTATAGATGGACCTTTCTATAGATCCACTGATTCTTTTCACTAATGAGACATCTAAGAAATTAATTATATTATTTTCCTCGTGCTCAATAGTAAAGGTCAGGTTTGGGTGACATGAATTGAAGCTCTTCAGTAGTGCCTCTGCCTTTATTAGTTACAACTGATTATCGCTGTCTGATTTTCTCTCTACCATCTCAAGGTATCGGTTATGCATGTACAATGATCAACTTCCTTCTCAACTGCTACTATACTGTAATAATGGCCTGGTCATTCCACTTTATTTTCTCGTCGTTCACCAGTGAATTACCATGGACTAAATGCGGTCAGCTGTGGAATACACTAGCGTGTACTGTCTTCACAAATCAAAAACCAGTAAATGTTAGTCTGTCTGATAATACTACTGCTAGTCAAATCAGTAACCGCAGTGTGTTAGCTGTTGATGCAACTACAGAATATTGGGAGTAAGTGCATATGAATGAGGATGGTGGGACTTTTGTGAAGTGCATTTTCTTCTTTTTAAAATATACTACTAACTAATATGAGTAGTAAGAAGGCAGTTATGCAAACACCATGAAAACAGTCATGTTATATAAAGTGAAACCCATCAGTAGCATATCGAAACAATGGTTAGTTGGAGATTCATATATCCAAGGATCATAAAAAATTCACTGAATTTGTAGTAAAAATTAAGTTTTATCGAGTAAGTGAGCATTAACTGATCACTGAAGAGTAACAAATTTCATTTTGTCTGGTCCTTCATGATGCCGAACTCAATCGATCATTTGGTAATGTAGTCACCAACTCGATGAACTTTGATTGCTTACAACGGGTGACACAAGTTGGCAACTCACACCGGAGATCTGTTCCTTCGGGACTGCAGATAAACCTGATTGATAAGTGCCGACAAACAGGAAGCCCAGATGAAGCAGGAAGTTCTACCAATTGCCTCCAGCCGTCTTACATCGAGAAATTATCTTTCAGATGGCATGCTAAATTCAGTTCCATGCCCACAATGCCTATCGGTCGTTTACGTGAGTCTGGTATGCTTGAGGGAACATCTAGTTTCATTGAAGTGTTGTTAGACTACTGATGAAATTCAGTATTAGATCTTACCAATGTACTTAGCTGCATATTTAAGGGGGTACAGGGGAAAAACAGCACGATCAGTTGTGCTGACGTAACATGAAACTGAGTGGTTCATTTTATCTAACTTATTTGCATATGGGGAGATAACTGAGGAGTAAATTTTCTGGAACATTCTGGTGTTCTGAGAACTCCACAATTCTAAACATCTTTAGTAATCGGACGAATTAGAAATATGCATATATATAATATGAACATGGGATGGTGGATTGCCCCCTGGTGGTCCAAATTAACACTTATCCCTGCCCCTCCCTTTATCAGCACGTTAAGAAAGAATTCACAGGGATGTACGATACAGAGGAATAAGGATGAAGGTAGTTAGAAGTGGTCGAAAGTTGTGAAATGAGGAGTAAGGAGGAATGAGGCAATACAGACTATTAAGATAATATGTGGATATATTTGCACCACTGAAATCGATTCTCAGCCATGTTATACTACCTGGAGTTCTCAACCAGCGGTTTCTGTTTTCCGACGTACTCCAACCCGGAAGTCAACTCTTTCCTACATGATTCAGACTAACAGTCAAACAAGTTGTTTGGGTTCTCATTATTGTAAGAAACGGCTGCCATAAAATCGCATGTCTGTTACAAGAATGAACCTGGAAGTGTGACACTGTGAAACTTCCTTAATTTTCACTACATATTTAAGGTACATAATGGGTTTACACGGAATTTCAGTTTGAACATACAAATTGGGAGATTAAGCGAACACCTGTAAATAGAAATTGTCTATGGAAACTGTCTACTTCAGAGTATTTGTGTTTCCTTGCAGTCAACAATGCAAGTTTGGCATTTGGGCACCGTGGTAGAATGTAATTCCATACTAGATGAGTTAGTTGGATGTAGCACACACTATCATGTTGTATAATTCCCTGAACGCTGTTTCGAGTATAATTTATTTTTCATACTCATATCAAGTTGGTATCAGATAATTAGCTTTCTTGATAGCCCCATTACTTTTCATTCTCTGATTTGACTGGTGGTAGGATTTTGAATATATCTGGAATCGGTTCTGAATCACTTCTACCATACACATGTTAAAAGTTGAATCGATGAGCAGAGATTCAGTGATGATCAACTTCTGTCTGTCTGCCTGTCTATCCACTTAAATACATTAGTCTGTCTCTATCTACTATGTGGTTGTGTGCAATCGCACATATATTGTAAGGTTTATCAATCTACACTCACCTTAGTTCTTATATTCTGACAACCTGGCTGATCCCGTTCCGTTAGTTTCATACATGTAGTTGACCTCACAGTCATTGCAAGGTATTTAGTGAATTAAGCAGCCGCCAAAGTTTGTCTGTGAGTGGATGTTTAGTTTTTAATGCCACCCTAATCCTGGCCTTGTTGTTAGTGACACATTATAGTTTGAAAGTCTTCCACATAAGTTGACAATTAAAGCATACAGTTTAAGGAGACTAGAATTCAGTCTTAGTTGGATGGAAGCGGTCGACAGGAACTCCTGCTTGATCTAGGCTTCGTAGTTTTTGGCACTGACTAAACCAAGGCGTATCTGTAGTCTTGATGGAAATGGTAACCTGCCTCAAATTCAAAACCATATTACTCATTGTTGAAGTCAGTGACGTTATTCAGAAAATGAATGAACTACTGTGGGACTGGATTAGATATATTGATTAGTCAATAAAGAGCAACCAACTTGATATTGTCTAGTCCTAAGTACTGATCGATGTCTATCGATCATTTTTACAATGCAGTTACTAGGCTAGGAGACTCACCAATTACGATGCACTGAGATCAGATTCTTTTCTTAAAGACTTTCCTACTATACCAACTTTAACGGTATACCCCCATTCGATTTACATATGTATACAGTTTTGGTAGAAGCGTTCTCTAATATTCTGGCAGTGTTTGAGACAATGTATTTTTATTACTATAAGCAGAGTATGATGATATGTAGAGTCATGTAGGTCTTATGAAGAGGAATCTTAGTCAATGAAGAGATTTCTTTTTAAAAACAGCAACGTAAACTTCAATATACTCATTAGTAAGAGTTGTTATAATCACCAGGCTTCAGCCCACTAAGATGACATCATTGTCACACATAATGTGATCTACTCGACACCACAAATGGCGTGAAGATTGTAAACATGGAAGCTATAAGAAGTATACTACTGACTGACTGATATAAGTAGTCCAAGACCAGTCACAGTGATATGAGGTGGCTCAGTCTGGACACATCACTGATGAGCGACAGAAACGGTTGTGCAATGTTTACATAACCTTGATCTGGATAGTGAGTACTACTGATTGGTGTGAACGGTCTAGAACTACTTATTTCAGTCAGTCAGTAGTATATTTACTAAGATTTCTGAGCTTTAATTTATAGCTATATTAGAATATAATGACCCAACTGGAGACATAAAAAATAATCCTGGAAATGAAAACTGCCAACAGCTTCAGAGTATCTTTCTTTAGAGGAATAGTTGACAAAATGATAGCAATGTCTGACTCAAAATGCAGCTTATCAAGGTAGTCATCACAAATGAATGCAACTGATTGCCATCTTGAGACGCTTTAACTTGTATTGACTACACTTATAATTATATTGTTTTTCCCTTGGGTTCCTAGTGGAACACAGGGCTTCAGTAGCAAGCCTCCATTGAACTCTCTTCTCTGCAGTCTTCAAAACCTGGCACCATGACTGCCCACAAACTTACAGTTCTTCCTCACATCATCTGCTCCATGTCACCTTCAGTTAAGATGCCCAACTCGTCGTTTCCCCTTTCCATTCCACTCGACGCCCTGACCTGAGCGTGATGTCTCCGAATGGTCTTCTCAGTGTATGCCCAAGCCAATTCATCTCCACTTTCTTTTCCATATTTATTGGGCGATAGGTTCCTGCTTCGTTGGTTAGTTCCCAAGGTTCCTTCTTGCTTATTCTCATTATTCTAGCCATCTCATCTGATCTTCAGTATCGAGTGAGCGTAGGTGTAGGTGACAGCTGTTGATGAATGTCTGTAGTTTGTTGGAAACGCTTTTCGTGACACGCCAAGTCTCTCAACCATCACATAGAAGCACTGACTCACTTGACTGACATCAGTGTTGAAAATCCGGATCTTGTTCACTCTTTGTGCTGAGTGCAGTAGATCTCCACACTGATTTCAAATTAATGCAGGAATGCCTGTCTTGCCGTCTTTCCGATCCTGGCCGGCTTTGACATTCTCGTCTATGCCGCCGCCGCCACCGCCTGTAGTTGAAACGACGCTACCTAGACAGTAATGTAGATGAAAGAGACTACTTCCTTTAGATTTCTCCTGTTCATGGTGATTGGTCTCTCTTGTTGCTGGTGTTGTTTTGGGTTAGGTATCTTCATCACCTCAGTCTGCTCTACACTCACCTGAAGGAATTCCCGTCTTCGCTACCCTGTCCTGTCCTGCCCTGCCCTGCCTCTTCTGTCAACTTGTTGGTCTTCACCTGTAGATCTTCGAGTTTGTGCTACAAGACATCAGACACAAGTCATCATCGTTGACGAAATCCAAATCTTCTAGGATCTTTTCATCGGTCCAGCCAGCGTATGCCCATCTTCTCACTCCTCAGGGTTCGCTGCATGGTCCAGTCGACCACAATCAGGGAGATGATCGGTGATAGTAGGCGGCAGCCTTGTCTTACCTGTCAACCTGTCTTCACTTCAAAGGCATCACTCAGCTTTTCATTGTGGATCACTTGGCATGTTGTGTCTTCATATAGCTGTTGAATGAGGTTGATAAGTGTTTGTGGTACTAAAAGTGTGATGTTGAAGCAGCTGCCTGCCAAATTACTTCTTGGTCGACGCCGTAGAAGGCCTTTTTAATGTCGATAAAGTTGAGGTAGAGAGTTGACTGCACTTATGTCTTATCCATTATAATAACAACCGTACAACCAGGTTTCCAATAGAAAATCTCCCAGATGTCTTCCTATTGGTCAGCTTACAAAGTATTGAAGGGAGTGACACGATAGTGCTGGTTTTAACTTTCCATTCTTCCTTCTGAATTCTGTACTCCTAACAGAAATCGTGTTCTACGCATATCCGATGGAATTGACAATCTGGGAACAATACAATGGGATTTAGCCTTGTGTCTTCTTCTCACATGGATTATTATTTATCTGTGCATCTGCAAGGGGATTAGAACTTCAGCAAAGGTTAGTTGATGTATAATGTGATATTGCTGTTAATTTTTTGGTAGCTCTTCTGTTGTACATCGCGATGCCCGACTAGGTATTGGGTTCGTACTTCCAAGGAGTCCCGCTCTAGTGGGACATAACAGCTGTCCAATCCTTTCGCATTTTTAAGGCTTCTTTAACTGGTGTCAGTTAGTTCAT